GGCGCCACAATCCACTGACATCAACCGCATAGAAAATTTGTGGACTGATGTCAAGGAGACAGTAACTCGATGTATAGTAAGTCGACATCGCCCACGCAATTATGGGAGGCTGTGAAGAACGTATAGGAGTCTATTTACAGCGAAAGATGTCAAAAACACGTTGACTCAATGCCACCACGCTGCGCTTCAAAACTAAAAAATAAAGGTCACGCAACTAAATACTAAGTTCATAAAAAGACAATAAATATCGAAATTTCGGCTTTAATTTCTTACACTACTAAGTTTCTGACGGACGAAATTTCTCACAGTTTTTTCATATACTACTTATAATTTATTGAAATTAGTTAACAATGAATCAAGTACGAGCTGCTCCAGAAACTTGATTGGAACATTCTTATGAATTACCCTTACCTATTTCTGGCTATGCATGGTAAACCTTGGATATCCTAAACAATGTAGAAGATTCTAACGACATCTAATCTATGTATATATGAATAAAATAATAAAATGGTTTTGTTCATTCACCTAACCTAACAGAATATATATATTAGAGAAGAAATCGACAAATAATATTGAAATTTGATCCTAGATTTGAAATAAATAAAACCATTAGTATCTTCCGTTGGCTTAGTAAACTTTTGCAAAACATTTCAGTCAATAAGCAAGATATCTGTAGCTCAACCAGCTTTAGTTGTTGTTGGTCCAAAACTTTGTGGGAATACCGTCTGTTCCCTCCCTGTTTCCTCCTTCCTTTTGAAATAATTCCTATATTTACTAATAGTAAAAAGTGAAAAGAGAATGCTGCTAAAGTCAACGCAAGTATCAATTCAAGTTCACCACAAAGTAAAAAGTTCATGACAGCAACTTACGCAATCGTATGAAATCAAGTGGCATAATAGAATTTCAAGAATGTGTTCTGCAATATAAACTCTGATTCCTTTCCTCGAATTTCAACAAACTATTCGAGACTACAGGAAACTTATTTAAATTGCATGCGTTCTCGCATAAGTTTTTCATTCTACACATTCAGCAATTATTTGATTACAGCCCTACTTGCGAAAAGTTTTGCTATAATATGCATTAACCCTTATGCTACTGTTACCACGAGTCATGCGAAGATACGATTTTGAAAATTATATTATAAGTTTGATAATGAACTTTACAAGGCCATATGTGCTCAAATGCCTACAATATTTCCTTCCTTTCGAATGTTGCAAATCGAAACTATGATTTTTTAGAATTTTTCGAACTTAATGACTTTTTATTAAAATTATTATAAATATTATTGCTTTTTAAGCAAACAATTCAAGTTTCCGAGTAAGTAAGTAATCCCCGCTGCCTAGTCGTCTTTGCACATGAAGCTGTATATATTATATTTGTGTTTATATCTATGGTATGCGCATTTAGCCTCCAATGTTGCAACACATACCACACTTTGTGTGCGCCCTTTTATGAACTTTTTGTTGCTTCGCAACCTGTGTCTCGGCGGATAATACGCCATTGTTAACTTAATGCTTGTTAAGAAATTAAAGCACACGACAAAAAATGAACACAATGAGCTGTTGTAAAATATACCGGTAAAAGCGGCATTTTAATAATGAATACATATTTACAAACAGCAAGATAAATAAATATGTATTCATATATGTTGATTCGTTGGCTGCTAGTAGTGGTAGCTGCCTGTTGGGAACAACCAGGAACTTGAGGTGCCCTAAGCTTTTTTTTTTTTTGATTTAAGGATCCCCAAAACCCAATCGTACGAACGATTCGCATTTAATTTTAAGTGCGTGATAGTCTGTTTTCCAGCTCTTAAAGTATTCGACGCAATACCCGCCGGAGAAAGCGGAGGAAGACCTCCACTTCATTCTAAAGACTAGGTGGAGAAGGACTTGGCTTCGCTTGAGATCTCCTTATATATAGAAGAAGACAGTTCAACGGCATCTTAAACTTCATTAGGTGTACTTCGTTATTATCGAGCACAACAGTTTTATGTTATACGCTAGGTTATTCTAACTGATATTTTCTTGTGTTCTTCAGCAGATTAGAGAACTATTAACTTTGAGTACGTTCCGGAAGTCGCTCCCTCCTCATTCTGATACAAATTTTTATCGAGCTCAAGATCAAATGCATTTCCGGTACTATTTCTAACTGCCAATACTTTAAGCTCTTTACCCTCAGCCTCGGTTTCTTACGTGCGTCAAGTAGAATTAATCAAATTTTGGCTACATCCTGACGCAGTAACGTTCCTGGTCGGTATGTGAGCAAACCTTCAAGCCTTCAGAGCTTGTACAATTTCACTTTTATGCACAACACATTTCCTGTTTCACTACTTTACGCCTCGTCGATTGTCTTTTCTCATTTTTTATGCGAGCGTTTGGCTTCGCTGGCAATTTAACTAAGCGATAAGAGCAGACGTTCCACTAAAAGACATGAAATTCAAAGTATTTAAACGAAGAATGTGATGGTTACTCTCTAAGGACACAAGAAGTCAGTTGATAACTGAACTCTTGAGATGCTCTAAGGATGCGGCAAAATCTAGGCCAAATTACTAAATTTGCTTAATTAATGATGGAAGGATACTGCTCAGGTACAAACTTTGTAATAATTTGTATTCGAAGCGTGACTATTTATAATTTATTCTGCTGTAAAGTTTTGCGGCTAAGTGTCCTCTACATACACATACTATTTAACAGTTTGTTTGGTAATACGAAAAATATCATAACAACCTACGACTTACGCGGAGTTGTCTGTACTCCATACTCTACAGCTTTTTCCATCATTGCTACAGTAATTTCGTATTGATTCCATAATTGAACACTCTCTTTGAGTTTTACATTTACATATGAATGTATGTCTGTAGGAAATTATACTCGTGTCATCAATTTTACTTTACTTTTCCGCGAAAAGCAGCCATTACCACAAAATGTCAATTTACCAATTTCCGTTATGTTTTCATTTGAATGTCATCAGTTTGCCTTCGCTCATGTGCATACATGCGTACATTTACTTTAGGGTGCGCTTGTTCTACACAACTTATGTTTCGGAAGAAAATAGATGAAAAGTAAAACACAAAAATTCACTCAAACATTTTATGAAGCTACTTATTAAGACAGGTCCAATCTATTTCGGCGTTAGTGTTGCTTTATAATATTTTGCATTGTCTCCACAAAAATCCAATTTTTGGTAATTAAATTAAAACACTTATTGCGATTAAAAACTATTATATATTAAGCTCTCCGTATATTTTGTATTTTTTTATATTAAAATATATATTATTATTATTATTATTTTTTTTTTTGAGATTTTATGGTATATTTACACTGTCACAGGTGTTTTTAATTTTAAATATACATAATAAAGTAAGTGAATTAAACATGTTAACGGTCAGTTAATAAATATTTTTATACCCTAAAACCAAGATCGACGGACGGACGGACGGACGGATGGACGGTAAATGAACTCCTCTCGTTTGCTGTTCATTTATATTCATAAATAATACGTTAAATTATGCCTCTCAGCGCGATTGAGCCCATTTCCAACGTTAGGAAATCCTTTTCACTAATGTCAACTTTTTAGAACTAACAAATTCTATCAACCCTAATATTTTCACACACCGAAACACCTATCTTAACTAACAAGTATGCTAATATACTCATTGTTGTGAAACTTCGGTGAAGTTTCATTTTAATTTGTATGTACATCCAACAATGGAAAATTAATTTTCCTCCCAGCTGAACACAAACAATAATGCAATTTCTAAAAATTTCTAAATGTGTTACATTACAAATGAATGGAAAAGTTGTTCCATGTTAAAAGCACTTCGAACCGTCAATGGATTATTACACTGTAAGTTGACATTTTAGTCTGTGGGTATGGATATATGTATGCCATAAATTGTAAAGTTTAGGTTAAGTTACGTTTAGATAAAATTCTTTCTCTCTCTCTTTCTCAGATGCAGCAAACTGATATTTCTGAAGTTTCCATAAGTTTTGCACCCTGAGCGCTGCGCTTTCAAACTAAAACTCTTATTATATACCTATGATAAGATCAACGATGGCTTCGTTCCGTCCTAGACGAAACAAGAGATCGCCGGAGGCCGTCCATCCACACGTGGGTGGGAGGGAAAGATTAAAGTAAATGATCCCGAAGCCTCATCGGAGCCTTTCTCTGTTCCAAACTTTCCCCACCTTGGCTACCGTTTCCTTATACTGGATGTCGACCGTTCATCATCACACCTTATTAATTTATGCAAGCCGTAGTGAATTCCGATGGGAATTCCACTAACCACCTTCATAAAAACAGCTGAAATACAAGCCGCTACCCGCTCCCATTCCTTGCAGGAAATGGCTCCATTTTCCCCGCTGCAGTCATGTACGCCAAACTCCAATGAACTTGATGATAAACTAATCATCGGTGCCGCACTGGCACGTGGCTTTTTGCAGAGGACGGATTCACCGAAGATGGCGTTCGTTTGACCCCTCTTTTTCATGACCTTCGCTTAGCACTCTTTTGAGCCACTCAAATATGCTATTGCACCTATAACGACCTAATAAGAGTTTCATTTTCCAATTCAATTTATGATCGTATCAAAAAAGCAACAGGTCATTTTATGGAGAACAATTTACTATTTCGCGAAAACCGCGTTTAAAGATAAATCCATGGAGCTATTCAATTGAGCGGCTACACATCAAAAAGCAGTAACTCGCAAAGTGTATTATTTTTTTTTACCTATAACTTATCGAAATATGACATACAAATCGACTTTTTTTATAAAAATTTCACACCAGATGTTACCTTAATATGCTCTGACATATATTATAATAATTTAATTGCACTTGCTATTATTTTACACAAGCTGACCATTGATCATTCAAATGAGATAGTCAGCACTCGCAAATCACTAATACTTATAATTTAACTGTAACAAATCACATAGCAACCATTTACACACACTTTAATTGTTAATTTATATATATGTATATATGTGTACTTCATCACAGATCACCGTTAATTTTCGAACCGGATGCGGCGCCCACCGTAGCCACTTCAGCTACAGAAGCTGAAACCGATAATGCGTTGCACACACGGCGCCTCACCGTTAGAAACAGATGTGGAGAGGGCGTGTCTGCCCACGCAACAGGCACCGACAGTGGGCAATCGAACCAATCAAGTGACGTTGAGGAGCTACAACAACAACAACACTATGATAAAGGCAAAATGTAAATAAGTTAACTTACCTCTGCCAATATACGTACATACGTACATTTGTATCTGTCTCTTATACACATCTAGATGTGTATAAGAGACAGGGCACCGACAGTGGGCAATCGAACCAATCAAGTGACGTTGAGGAGCTACAACAACAACAACACTATGATAAAGGCAAAATGTAAATAAGTTAACTTACCTCTGCCAATATACGTACATACGTACATTTGTATACATAGACAAATTATAATAGCGATTCTTATGCATTTCATTTCCAATCTTCATCTGTGCACCGCTCACCTCTCAACGCAGGATCAAAGCAATGACACACGCTACCGACCATCTCAAGTCCCAGGACTTTCAAGTTTGCATTACTGTGATTGAAGCGCGTCAGCTGCCTGGCCTCAACATGGATCCAGTTGTATGCATTCAAGTGGGTGATCAAAAGAAGTATACCAGTGTCAAGGAGAGCACCAATTGCCCCTACTATAATGAGGTACACATAAATATATATCTACATACAAATACAATGTATATACTTGTAGTATATAATAAATACATATATGCACACATAAGTATGAATTGTAGAAACTCACCTTAATTCGTTATATTTATTATAAAAACTCCTAGCATTACTCTCGTCAATTTCTCACACTCCACATTTCTCTCCTCTTTCAGTATTTCGTGTTTGACTTTCACATGCCTCCGGTGATGCTCTTTGATAAGATTATAACTTTGTCGGTGAGTAGAATATGTTCTAATTAGACCACCAGTGTTTCATTCGCGTGTTAAAGCCGCCCCATACAAATGCAAACAAATTAATAAATTAGATTAATTGACGGCGTAAATCAATTAAACCTGTCGAGCTATTTACATTAGATAAACGCGATAATAGCCCCCATTACCGTAATGAAAGCGTCAGACTGTGGCGTATGTGTAACAAAATATCTAACGACTTGTTGCGAGAGTTGCAGAATTCCTCAAAAGCTAATCATTTCCAAATATTATAAATATAAAAATGTCTACGGTTACACAATTAAATATGCAAACCTATTCATCAGAAAATTTTCGATATTTCGATTATGAAGTTAAATGAAGTTTTATAAGGGGTTGCATGGGTTTCTTCGCCTAAAAAACCGTCTTTTTTCAACAATTTTCTTTTGTCATATAGAAAATTAAATATTTTAGTAGAATTTTCTATTGTGACAAATATACATTATTGACAAAGAAATTTTGAAAATTTTGGAAAAAAATATTTTAAACTCAGTCATTGCGACGCCGTTTTCGGTGACCCTTCGGAAAAAAGATGCGTCCACGTTGGCAAGATAACTGCTTGCAGGATCATCTAAAGTGATAAAATACATGTTTCAGTTAAAAAGTTAAAACCTTTACTTAGAACTAGGACGAAGGGAAAAAAACAGAAATTTTTTTTTAATTTCACAACATTTTTTTCAATTGTAATCGAAAAAAATTCTTCGTCCAAGTCTTTTAGAATTGTATATCAAAGACTTGTGTAAAATTTCATGGAGCTCCTCAGTTTTGGAAATATCGATCTGAAAGTTTGCACACATTCTCTTCTCCCCAAGAAGTTACTCGTTTGTCGGAACCGTCGATATCGGACCACTATAACATATAAATACCATTCCTAACTAACCGATAGAAATCAAATTCTTGTATGGAAACTTTTTTATTTTTGAAGGGTATTAGAGTTTCAATTCAACGAAAGTTATCGTTTTTCCTTGTGCTTTGTGTTTTTCCTTTGCATTCAAAATTTTACGAGTAATGTCGAGTAATAAATCTGCATATAATTAGTATCTTTCTATTGTTGCCACAATCTGAGTTTCTTGCGCGCAAATTAATTTCAAATTTGCAAACAAACAAAATGCTGCCACTTGGCGTGTTGTTGAAATTAAGACCAAACATTCTTAAGGTATTAATTTAAAAGAAAAAATTATATTCGAAAAAAATTAAAATTCCTATTCCTCCCTTCAGTAAAGTGGAAAAAGTTATATCTATTTGGTCCTCATTTAATTTCTTGCTTCTTTTTAAAAGAAAATGCAATTTATTGGAAGGAAATAGTAACAAATGCTCATCGCCTGTGACAACTGTTTCCCTTCTTTCCGGCAAAGCTCGGTAAAACTGTTCATCCTGTGATGATATACAAGAATTAAGCCAGCTTTCGAAGTCCTCCTCTTAGTGGAAAGTGCCATAATTTCGACTAAAAAAAACTCGCACACTTTTGCTGCATTAATTTCTTTACTTTTTATGATTCCGTTTCTTCAGGTCGATTTAATTACTTTTCCAAACCTTGTGGAGATATAGTTCAGCTACCTATCGATTATGTCCAACTAAATACAGGCTTTTTGAAATCTTTTGTAGTTAATTTTTGAACTGATAATGACCCCAAAATTCATTCTAGGGTATGGTTTAAAATATTCATGAAGCTTCAGGGCTTTAATAACTCAGTAATGTTTCAGTTTTTGTTCATATTTGCCACGACTCATTAAAAAATCTTCATATATAACTTCCTCGTTTGCATTATGCTATGCTAATGATTGGCCTCATTTCATTAAAAATATTATAAATGAAGAAGGAAATAGTTGCTAATAACTTGATTTGCTGAAAATTTATCCTCAGGTCATTCAATCACGGAAATTTTTACGATCAGGAACACTTGTTGGTTCCTTTAAGATTGACTTGTCTACCGTTTACGATGCACCGGGTATTTCAAATTTATTCTCATTAAATAGAATGCTACATATGTTTTCACAATCGAAAAATAAATCACAACTTCTTTGACGGTGTTTTAGAATGTTTAAAATTTGTTTAACAGTTTTTCTCTTTAATCTAGCATAACTTTTTCGATTTAAATGTTGATATGTTTATACTTGTTGCAATTTTTTGTATGTTAGCATAATTTTCATACTTCCATTTCCTTAATAAATGTTGAACGTTAATTTGGTTTTTCTCTTATATATAGCTATACTATAAAGTAATAACTTCAGCACTTTGAAATTATATTTGCCACTTTGTTCACTTCTAATGTGTAAATTCATATATCGTATGTAGTTCTTTAAGAAAGATAAGTACATTCCGTAAAAAATTAAAAATATTTCAATTATATAACATTATCGAACTCTCTTGAGAACTCTAATGGGGAGTGTTTATTATCATTCATTTGAACATTCCTTGGGATTTATTTCTTGAAGAGATTATCTCTTTCAAATGTTGGCCGCGGTTACGTCTCAGATGGTCCATCCGTTGAGTCCATTTTTCGATGACTTGTTTGAGCATTTCGACTGGTTCTCGAAACTAAATATTATCGATGTCACGACCTTCAATTCTAAGCATCAAGCAGGCTGTTATCACGACGCGATACCATTGAGCCAGAAATGTGCCCAATCGATGAACAAAATTTGGCTAAAAACGTCGGATCTTCTTGGAACTTTCAAATACTTTCGCATGGGAAGGTCGATCGACTTCATTTCTTGCACAGCTAAAATGCAAGCTTTCAATTTAAGATCTCCATCATGTTGACCATTCTTTACAGAACATGAATTTTCGTAATAAAGTTCAACAATTTGTAGACATTGTTCAGGAGTAAGTCATCAACAAACCATAACTTACACACGAAGTGAACAGTTGTTTTCAATTACATTGCTGATCTGTCAAAAAAAGACTAAGAAACAAGTACCTCTACTTGGATCACCCGTTATATATAAATTTCGCTCCTTTTATTCCATCACCAGCATTCTTTGATTCGTAAATTTTCATTGCCATCAAGAGTAGCGGTAGAAGTAAGAAGTCAAACCATGGGAAGGGGCCAAGGTGATACGTGAGATCCAACTGCAGTGTTTCGGCCTTACAAAGGCGTTTGTTTAACTGTTCAAGTGTGACCTTGTAATGGTTGAATGAATGAATGAATGATAATGAGGAATGCACTGCGACCTTTGGTCTATTGTG